GTAGGGATGTATAAGTACCCGTCCACATACACTCTGTGTTTTTGTTAGATGTATTTCTATTTGTATCCATCTGATGAGTTGAACTTTTTTCAACTGATTTTTATAGTTTGTTCTTATGTTGTACTGTTACACCACTGTCCCATGTTAGGGGAGGGTTGGCGCCTTCAAACTAGTTTAACCCCGCCACATTCTGTATGTGCCTGTCTTTGTAATTCAGTGGTTGTCGTTTGTTGCTGTGTTAAATATTTGTTTTTCGTTCGTTATTTTGTACATAAATTAGGCCGTTAGTTTTCTCGTTTGAATTGTTTTACATTTGTCATTTCGGGGACTTTTATAGCTGAATATGCAGTATGGGCTTTGCTCATTGTTGAAGGCCGTACGGTGACCTATAGTTGTTAATTTCTGTGTCATTTGGTCTCTTGTGGGAAGTTGTCTCATTGGCAATCATACCAGATTCTTTTTATATAAATGTGTTTCCTCGCTTTATGCATTTCATTGTGTACAAAGTATTCCAAGTCCTTTTCTCACCTGATAATAATTAAGCCCATTTATACGTAGTCCAACTTTCTTAAAAATGGGATACACCTACACCGCTTACTGCGAAACATTGGTTTTTATATAAAAATGAATTCTAGTCTTGTGCAGTTATATTTGAACAGTTATTGAAATGGATAAGGTATGAATTTAGGTAGGTACAACGGAACCGATATACACCAAGCATACGATAAACATAATCCGGTATAAATTATCTACCTTGAACTATGTATACCAGGTTTTCTTAATAGGCGCTCGTTGACCTAATGAGTTATGGAAATTACAGTTATTTGTTATATGCATAACAGATTATTTAAATGTGGACTCTGTTGCAAAGTATAATTTAGTACACTTTCCATATAAGAATCAAGCAAGAATTAATAGGCCGAAAAATGTTTCGAAAGTTTTATGAAATGCATTTACCACATCCTTAAACAATATATAATTCAATAAGAATGCTGTGAACTATGTCTGACGAAAAATATAATTCCCATTCATATCATAATAACCTCAATTTCTCTCCTTTAGAAAAAAACATATGCAGACATCAATCTGTATCTGAAATTTGTTTTCTCTAACATAATTGAGGAATAATTTTTACAAATCTTAAAAGAAAGGCATACCAAATTATCTTTGGTAAGTTTTTCCAACCATTGGTGTTGAACGTTTCGTTCCCGATGGCATCACCGGCCCAGTAGTCAGCACTTTTGTTTGGGCATGAAATATTCTTGATATGTTAATTTTCTTTAGATTTACTGTTCATAATATTTTAAATTATTCGAAGCACTAAGGATTTTCTACCCTTAAACATAGATTGCCTTAATTAGTCCTATTAGGCAAAACTTTTCACCATTTACGGTTATAAAGCCTTCAAACTACGTATTTGATTGTGGCTGTACAACTATTTTGATTCCAGGGTCACTGGTTGATTAGTCTTATGTAGAGGAAACATGCATCGGCATCCCAAATCATAAGCCTATTATCTTTGATGAGTTTTATTTCAATTGAAGATGGTGGGGGCGTCGAGTCTGGATGATGGTTGTGATTATTGTGAGAATGTCTGTTATTTCTTTGTTTTGATGCTGTCGTTGCAGCAGGTTTGCTTTTATTTTAAGTTTTAAGCAATTTAATTTAACAATGACTCTTAGCTGCTCCATTCCTGCTCATTTATGGAAGTGCTTTGTCTATAGCTGCTGCTCCTGTCACTCGAGGATAGACATTGTTGCTGCTGCTTGAGGACGGTAGATTGCTGTTGTTGTTTCTGCTTGGTGGTTGGAATATTGCAGCCGCCTCAGCTGCTCTTATATTGTTTGCAGTGTTGCTATTAATATGACATTAGTATTGTTGGTGAGATGCAGTTATAAGAAGTGATGAGGTAGTGATAACGAAGGTGATGATGTCCATTTCCTTCGCTTATGTTTTCTTCCATAATACTTTTCTTTTCAACTAATTATTCTGTTTCTATATATTTTCCATGCACAAATTCCAATGAAATTAAGGTTACTCCATATGTTTTCCACCTGTTCGAAATCAGTAAACTTATCTCTATCAAAATTCTTTTTTCATTATTCATCTATAATGATCACTCGTCGTTGAAAATGCCAATTTCCGTAACTCATGTTCTTATAGTTGATTTTTACAACGTTTCCCCAGGCGACTGCAACCTGATCCTGTTATGTTTCGGGTTGCCCCAGTCTGATCCCGATATTTTTAGTTGATCCGGTATCCTTCCGATAATTTCTAGTTGATCCATGATGTTCCCCATACTATTTGCTCTAGACTTCAGGCTTCTAGAGAAATATTACGATTGGACAGATGGTAACAGGTTGCAGGATGACTTTTGTAGATAACTTATATATGCTCTATTTGAAGGAGCCAAGACACGTTATGACCGCATTTCCTAACGACCTTACATCAACAGTATAATGCCTAAAAGCAAAAAGTAAATTTAACAAAAATACCGAACTCCAAGGAAAATTCAAAACGGACAGTCCTTTATCAAATGGCAAAATCAACAGCTCAAACACATCAAACGAATGGAAAACAACTGTCATATTCCTGACTTGGTACAGGCAAGAGAACATTAACTCATAAACTGAATGATACATGGAGTTTCATGAAATGACCCTTTTAATATGATGTATACGGATATATATGAGAAGGCAAACATACGAAAATAATCGAGCAACCTGGAGCTATTCGAAAAATATCGGCAACAGTCTGGAGCAAGTCGAAAAATATCAGGAGCAGCCAGAAGAAAATAACAAGATATCGGGATCAGACTGGACAAATTCGGAAAATTTGGGAGCAGGTTGAAGTCCCCGGCCAAAAAAAAAAAAAAAAATAGCAACAGTTTAAATTGACATGGGAATAAACATTAAAAAACCAACTAAGATACATAAGTCGGCATTTCAAACTACAAATGATAAGACACAGAAATATGTAAGTTAATTAATAAAACCATGAATGAATGGTAAACAATCGAAGTTTCATAAAGAATAGTAATTCAACTGAAAACACACAATTAAAATTATTAGTTGAAAACATAATTAATGTTTCCAAGGGTTATAACTCTTTTTTTTTTTAAATTGATCGGCACTAATTTTTGAAATCGTCAGAGACATTACTGATATTAAGCTACAATATAAGTTTCATAAAAATCTGGCAAGACTGGAAACACATGAGAGTGCTAACGATGCAATTTTTCATGTAATTAATGTTTCAAAGGGGCACAACTCTTTTAGAAATAATTAATCGGCACTGATTTTCGAACTCGTCCGAGACATTGCTGATATAAACCTACAATATAAGTTTCATAAAAATCTGGCAAGAATTGTACACATGAGAGTGCTAACGATGCAATTTTGCATATAATTAATGTTTCCAAGGGCATAACTCTTTTAAAAATAGTTCATCGGCACTGATTTTCGAACTCGTCCGAGACATTGCTGATATAAACCTATAATATAAGTTTTATAAAAATCTGCCAAGAATTGTACATGTGAGAGCGCTAGCAAGACCGGACGGACGCCCGGTATTTCTATGTCCCCCGCAACGCGTTGCGCGGGGGACAAAAAGTATGCGATGAAGAAAACCTAAGGGCAGAAGGAACGTGGCCCTATTGACTTCGATATCACTATGCAGCAACTTCTTATAAATGTCAAAAGCAAAAAGTTAAATCACAAAAATACTGAACTCCGAGCAAGCACAACCATCAATTTACATCCGAGAGGTAGCGGCGGAAGCTATATGCCGTCCCCAAGCAGCAACAATCCCTTGCCCTTAAGATAAAGCAGCTATTTCTGTCCTCTCAACAGCAGCAGCAGAACTTTCCTTTTTCTTTCAAAACAGTCACAGAAATTTCAATAACAAACATCTTTTAAAATGATAGAAATTATCATTTAAAACTTTAATTCTATGGTTGAACCATACTGCATAGCAAGCTATAAAAGGCTTCGTAATGACTAATGTATTATCATTAAAACAATAAAACTAACCACCAGATATATGTACCAAAAATAAGTAGGCTGTGCTTATTATATATATATATGGAATGAGCATCTAGTGCAATTAAATGCGCACCATTAATTTATTTTCATAGATATGAAACCAGTCTGAAATTCCAAAAGTCATTAAAAAAAATTCAGAATTTGGTCATATATTTTCAAGGATTGTTGGACAAATTGGTTGTTGGATAAATGGGCTGCAAAATCAATCCCAACCTTCCTATTGCAGTATGGAACCTTGTGCTAAAATTTCATAGAGATCCATACACTCATACTCAAGTTATTGTCTGCAAACCAGAAAAAAACTTGTGTTTTACACCTTTTTGACCCTTAATTACTAAATTACTACGACAACAACCCCAAAAATCAATCACAATCTTCCTATTGTGGTATGGAACCTAGTGCTAAAATTTCATAGAGATCCATACACTTAAACTCAAGTTATTGTCTATGAATCAAAATGTTTTTGGCCCCTAATTCCTAAACAATTTGGGCCATGACCCCCAAAATCAATCCCAACCTTCCTTTTGAGGTATGGAACCTTTTGGTACAATTTCATAGAGATCCATACACTTATGCACAAGTTATTGTCCTGAAACAAGAAAAATATTTGTTTTGGCCCCTTTATAGCCCCTTATTACTAAACAGCTGTGACAATAACCCTCAAAATCAATCTCAACCTTCCTTTTGTGGTATGGAACCTTCTGCTAAAATTTCATAGAGATCCATACACTTATACTCACGTTATTGTTTGCGAACCAAAATGTCCTCAGACGACGACGCAGACATCGCCATAGCATAATATGAATGCAAAAATTTTGCGATCGTATAAAAGCTTTAGTAACACTATGCATTGTTTCAGTCAGAAAGAAAAATCGTAGAAAATTGGACAAGACAAAAAGAATGTTGCCTCATTGATATCTAGACCACTTACACCTTAATTATTATATAATAAGAAAATTGACACTGAACGACATTTTATTTATTCTACAGAAGTCATGCAAACAAGCAGAATCACACAATCAACAAAGCACAAATAATATACATGTCTTTGTAACAGCACATAACAAAATTATTACCATGATATATAATAATACAACCATTTTAATCAGTGAATTAAGCTACACTTCATTCATACCAGTAGTCCTGCAGGGTAAAATTCAGATTGGGTCTATTGGTTATAGAATGACTACCATTTACTTTGATCAATATGGTTACAAGTCTGTCAGTCTGTCAATCAATTTCTGTTGTTTTGTTGGTAAGAGTTAGTGTGTTTTAACCTTTATTTTAGAATAATTTTAGTATGTGATATTATAAACTTTTACTTTCATAAAATAATGAATGTGTCAGAAAGACTTTTCTTGATTTACCTTAAGGAACACTCAATATGAATATTTGAAAGCCAAGGATGTATAAGAACCAAAACAGTTGAAGTGTTTAATGACCAAAAAGGATGTAAAAATAATAGCCAAATCCATCTATGGTCAACTTTGCCAGAGGATGTTGAAACCTTAGTTTCCTGATGATTTCTAAATTTATAAACGGACAATTTTAGAAAGGTTTGTTATTAATCATGTCAGTACCGAAGTACTGACTACAGAGACTTACAAATTCAAAAACTGTAAAGATGGCTATAGGAAGGCAGTGCCCAAAAATTATTTTTTTAATTCTTGCATTAGCCATTTGTCATGTTCCAACTACATTGGATAAGCATGGAGTTAAATTATACATCCAAAGGATGTTTGTTGCTATATCAATTAATATCTACAGAAAAAAATAAGTTTAAGGGCTCAGTTAATGGTAATAAATAACAAATCAAAATGAATGGAAGTTTTGCATTACTATTTGTATTAAATAATGTGGTTATAGTAAAGTGTAATTCTGAGGTTACAAATAATTACAATTCTAAGGTATTTCTAATGTTTACTTTTTCATCTCAGCATAAAACAAAGAAATTGAATATATGTCACTTTAATATTACTTAAGAAATTTCTGTTTCCTTAAATATATTGATACAATAAATTAATATGCTATCACTTACACCAAGTAGACTAAACTGGCATATTATTATGAATGAACAAATATGTAATAGCAACTAATTCAATCAAGTCACTTTTTAGAATATTTATTAGTTCTTGTCTTTATTTTAGAATCAATTTCTTTTCGCTTTGCTTTCAATTCTTGTCGGCCATCTTTGTACAATTCCTTAAAGCTTTCTCTTTCTGCTGGTTTGACCATTTTTCCAGATCTCTGCAGATATTTGATTGTTAAGTTAGTTCCAGCGAGAGTTACAGTGTATCTAGCAGGTGTAGCCAACTTGTATAACAAATATGCTACAGCTATTTCTCCAACATGGGATGATTTAAAAGGCTTCAGTATGGTTTCTCCAGCTCCCATTCTTTCTAACAATGGTACCACATCAATACCACTGAAATGAAAAAGGAATTTTCAAATAAGAAAACAACAAGAATGCAGGCATATAAATTAGGCCGTTAGTTAACTCAATTGAATGGTTTCATATTTTTCATGTCGGCTATGTAGTATGGGTTTTTCTTATTGTTGAAGGCCGTACAGTTGCCTATAATTGCTTACATCCACTTCAACTTTGGTGGATAGTTGTCTCATTGGCAATCATACCACATCTTCTTATTTCTATATAGTTGTGTTGAGCATATATGAACTAGTTATTCAAATTATCTGAAAACAGGCAGAGGTGTAAGACAGATCTAAAAAGTGCTCAACCATTACAACTCATCACTGTCAAGCTGCTGACTAAATACGAAATTGTTGTGTTTAACAGTAACTGAGAAAAGTTGGATGAAATTATATTTGTTAGACAAACAGAAAGAAAGATGGACAAACAGGTGATTGCAATACAGTAATCCTTAAAGGATATACGGATAACAAGATGAAAAACAGCAATTCTTTCACTAGTAAACGAAATTTAGTCTGAAACGTTCATTTTGATCTGAACAGCTCTTCAAAGACTGAACAACAAACTATTCTATCTTTTTCAGTTTTTCAATCAATTTTCAGACTTATCTACTGCGGTAAATACTAAATTCAGTACTGTTCAGACTGTTCAGTGGTTGTTATTTACCTTTACAGATCAACAACATACTGAATTATCTGAATTAAAAGCTACTGAACAGTACTGAATTTACTGCAAGGATTTGTCTGAACAATACTGAATTTAATGCAGTCGATAAATCTGTAAATTGATTGAAAGACTAAACATGACTTAATTATTTATTGTTCAGACTTTTCAGATGATGTTCTGATCAAAATTGCCATTTCAGACTAAAATTTGTTCACTTGTGTTTGATTCAGATTAAAGATTGACTTGAAGAGTTTAAAGAGTCTTGACCCCCAAATAATCTCAATGTATTGCTTATTTTGATCATAATCTTCTTATCTAATTAGATATAATTTTTTTTGTATGATAAAATTACCAAGATATATGAAATTATGCAAGGGGAGACAACTTTTATTTTATCAAACCAGCAAAATAAACAAATATCTTGATTTCTCTACATCTGTAATGATTTTTTGATAATGCTATTATTTGGAAACACATGTATTTTAAACATAATTGAGGTAAGCTAAGGAATTCTATTTTATAGCAAATCCACATTGAATTAGCCTTTTGACTACAAAATAAACATAAAAAAAATGAAAAAGTGGCATCCAAAAAACTAAATAACTATATATATATATGTTAAAATATACTTTTTCACTTTTTTGGTCTTTTGGAAAATGTTGTTTGTGCTGTATTTAGACCCCTCTAACAAGAAATTTGTTTTTGCATGCACACGTATAAAAATTGCGGTTTTTATCCAACGCAATCATAGGTTTGAACGTTGTTTTCAATTTAGACTTGTTTATATATATATATATATGTATATTAAAATTTATACATACCTTAATGCTAAATAATAAAAGGAACCAAACCAGAAAGTGGAAGTCACCAGGTGTACTCCAATAAGAACTTTTCCATGCTCCTTGTATGCTTTTTTAAATCTTTGAAATATTGTCAAATTTTGTTCAACACCATCTGAACTCTCTGTTTTGTCTGTGATTTCACTTTCAGCTGTTTCCTTGTCTTTTGATTTGTCTTTCTGAAAGTCAGCAGCACTTGTTGAAAATGATTGGTAAATAGTTGAACATGGATATATTTGAGAGCAATGCTGACCATTTGTCACTGAAAGACTGGAGCTTTTTACTATGCTACATGTAACTGAAAATATAAATTGCAAATCATATAGAAATTAAACTGTAAACAATAAATTCAAAACATACTAAAATAAACTGTTAACAGAGTGATATGTCTCACCTGTATATAATTGTGATAGTAGAATGTAAATGTTGAAATAAAAAATAGCAATACTTCAACATGTTAATTATGCAAACTCATGAAAATACTCAAAGTCAATGAACCATGACTGAAGGAACAATGCTAAATACTTTCTCAGATATTAGATATGCCAATGGTAATATAACTGCATATTAAATATCATTACTCATCACAAGTGGTTCCCTTAAGGAATAACACCACTAATTACTAGCCCCTTTGCCTCTATTCATAGCTACAACATATATTTTGTCTTAAGTTTAAATAAAGTGGCTATCATTTTATGTCAAAACTGTACCTTATCCTGACTTGTTATTCCTATAACTGAAAATCATGTGAAATTCCAACTAAAGAAAATATACCTTCAATGACTTTTTACTATGAAAATTGGTCACATTTGTTAGTAATGATGTTACATCAACTTTTTGTATGAAAAAAATATGCTGGTGTCAGATCACAGCTCTCAATCTAAAGGGTATTTCAGCCTTAATTGGTAAGTAAGCATGCAGGAGCAAACATTTTCCTGCAAGTTTGTATCTGTGGAGCATATGAGTCGCCAAAAATTTATATATATCCAATTACTGAAAAGTTTGATGAAAAAAAACATGTGCAAGATTTGCCTTCCAAGATTAATCACTGTACCAGCCGGGATTTTAACCTAGAATCCCTGGCACAGTAAGCCACTGCTCTACCAGCTGATCTAAAGGAGTACTCCACTAGCACAACTTAAGGAGGGCAGTTATTTATCTACGTGCCTCCACCTCAAGAGTCACGATATCTTCCATCACTTAATACATGTACCCTGGTTAGGTATAATTTTTCTAACAATGGATTTTTTAGTAAAGGACCAGTTTTGTTACCATAACTCTACCAACTGAGCTAAAGGAGTACTCAAATCGGCATCTATAGAAAAAGTCAAATCAGCACCTGGTCAAATTGGTATTTGGTTAGAAAATTTGACACTTAATATTATTTTAACCTTTAATGAACAATAAAAAAAATAAGAAATATGTTTGTTGTTTAAAGTTTTCTCATTATATTCTATTATTAATGTTTTGGTCCGTTTTCTTGTTAAATACTTAATAACTTAATAAACCTGTTTGTTATTTTAACAATTCTCCGTTACTTTTTGTTTTATATTTTAAAACCTTAAACAAAAACAAGATTTTATTGACTTACCCTTTTTGAATTTACCATGGAGTTTGGCTACATTTTTGTTAATACTTTTTTGTAGTCAATTAATTAAATTAATTAAATTGGCACCGATATTTGTATGTTTACTAGAACTGCATCTGCAGTATACTATCCATCTAATACTGATATTGTCAGAACAATCCTATGATATACTGTCAGAACAATCCTATGATATACTGTCACTGACATGGATAGTATTATGAACCTTGCTAGTAAACATACAAATCTTGGTACCAATGTAAATTATTGAATATAAATACATTGTAGACTGGTAGATAAGAAATACAAAAAAACAAAACAAATTAAATTACAATGATTTAAAGTGTTTTTATTCTCTTACTACAGAATCCCTGTATTTTAATCATGTGAAAAGTAATAGAGAGGCAAATTTTGAGTTATGGTATCTCTATCACATTGTCAGACGACAACTGAATAAAGTGTAACATAGTAGTTAGACCAAGTTAAGAGGCACTTCAGTGTAAAAAGTACATGTTCAGGCTGGCAGCACAGAACCTGTAACAGAATTTCAAACTCTACCCCAACATTATTATATTTTCTCTGTATTTAAACATGTTAAACACCCCATTATTCTTTATGTATTGTTTTAAGTGGGTCTAAAGTGACAATTGTAAAAAATATGAAAAAACAGATTACTCAGGTCCTAATCTAGGATTTTGAAGAGGGAGAAATGACTTCTCCTTCCACGAGAGAGTACAGAGAAGTGGTCAATTTCTTGGAGAAATGAAATTCCATTACCGTTTCGGTTGCATAGTGTTTTCGTGCTTATCACTATGGAAATTGTTTTATCATGTTTATATATGCAATAAAAAATATACTTGCAGTGTTTTTATATGATATTGTAAAAAACGTATGTATTGAAATTCTTTATAAAAAAAGTTTACAGAATATAGTTGTTATTTATTTATTCATACCATTTGTACAGTCAATTTGAATTTAAGTTTAAATGAAATTTGTTGCTTGCCTAGTAATATTATCATGCATTAATCTCATGTGCATCTGCCTCAATTTATTTTTAAATTTCTAGAAAACTATGACTCCCAGTTTATCTGATGACTTTTAAATGACTGGGCAATTTAATGTACATGTATATCACCACTAGTCATAATTTTGTAAAACAGTATTGAATGTCCAGGACATCATGTCAGTTGTAAATAGAGATTCTCATGAAAGATTGTTAGCCTATAAATGAAGATATCTGTCACCACATATTAATTAACCGATAAAGAGCTTATTTTATCATAAAAGATATATCCCTTATTAACAATTTGGTTTGTGAAAAAAAACACACTGCTGATGACAAGTTGGCCATGTGTCAAACGTTTGCATTCACAATATCCATCAGCAGTCTTTCTAGCTTTTAACAATCACCCGTTTATTCCCACTCTAAACCTACCGAATAGTACAACTGATCACCTCGTAATAAATAAAAATAAAACAAATCAGCTGAGTGATTATGCAACATCCTCAGATGAAAATCATCATAAATTGATAACTCAAACAGTCGCTCAGCTTCCAGTTTTAATAGTTTTGAATGTTAAATCCAAGGATGTTCAAATTTGCCATTGCATTTATTTCATTTAATCATCAACAGTAATAATCCTTGTTTGTTTCGAAAATTTTGAAAATCTCGATTTTCCTTGTCAATCGCCATTATTGTTTACCTGTTTGACTTGTAAATTTTAAGTTGTCTCCCTGATACCGATTTTGATAGCGATTTGACTTCGCTATGAAGTCAGTAGGCTGGCGAGTTTTATCGATTTGCAAAATTCTTTGGCAACTTATATTGTCATTTCGCCGTCAAGGTTATGGCCTGAAACAGATTACTTTACTTATCAAGAATCATGTTAACCAATGATGTATAAATAACTACCTTGGTTGCCAAATTAACCAGGTGCCGATTTGTCTGGGTACCAAATTTACTATACTGGGTGCCCAAATAATTATGACGTCTTGAAAGGCCATTTTATTTTTGCTGTGAGCCTTCCAGCAATGTGGCAAGAAGTCATCACATCAAAACATTAAAATAGCTTTTCAAGTCATCATAATTATTTGGACTAGATTAAACTATGACTATGTGCCATATTGCTATTTAAAAACTAGGAAAGGGGAAGCACCTATTTATATATAAGTGAGGTTATCAGGAAGCACCTGCCTCATATTATTTGTATTATTAATTACATTTTTTCTGGGGTCTGCAAAAACATTGCGACGAAAATGATGAAATATGACGAACTCTTGCAGGGCATGATGATTGCAGCTTCCCTAGTGATACCAAAAATCTGTGGCAAATTTCCACTTGTTCATGATTTCTCCGTCTAAAAATGGAAATACAATTTCCAGTCACGGTCTTTCTTAACATGACACAAGGAATAAAATCAAAATTGTTGTATAAATTTGACGGTCAAATCCAACGTGCTCATTTCTAAACCGGAAGTTGACAGACGACACATTACGACATGAACATTTCATGCGAAGATTTAGGGATCGCCATTTACAAATCAAATGGGATATGAGGTTACAAATTGCAACTAAAATTCGTTCAAAATATTTCAAAGTTCTTATTTTTTGTGTCTTAAAAGAATTTTGCGGTAAATACGACTTTCTGTTCGGAATACTTATTTCGTATTCTCTGGGTTTATCCATATGAATAAGCAACAGTTGAACGAAATGGAAATGGAAAGCAAGTAGAATTTTTTATTTTCCAGTTTATAGGATATGTGTTACTCATTGCAGTTTCCTCTCATAATTAAAAAAACTGTATTTAATTGCAAACTGTTTAAGTATGCTTACACCAGTTGCTACTGACAAGACCATTTCAGCTCCCTTTGATCATTTTGAGAGCTGTTAATATAAATTATGTTCAACATCATGTTTCTCATGAAAAAAAATATAATAGTAGACGGTATTTCTAACCCTATACCTTCATAAATAGGACTAACACATTGAAAAAATTGATACATTTCAACAAGGGTAAAGTTCAATACTTTATCAGAATTAAAATGTCCAAATAATTACATGAATTATGACGTCTTTAGTGTTTCCTGTAGCTTTTGAAAAGGGCAGGGTAATTTTTTTTCTGAGAGGGCACTCTAAGCGCGATTGGCTACCATTACTTTAAGGGCACCATTTGCGCGGAGGACTACACTTTTAGGGCACTCTTTACATAGATATAAAGGCACTGTAATGCTGATAGGGATTTAATCGAATATACCATGGTTTCATATTTATTGGTAAGAAATAAAGATATGTATATTAGGTTGTTAACTTAATTCTTTTTTGTAATGAAATTATCACTTCTAGACTCAGCTAATAGAATCTTGATCATGTTCATTGTGCAACTGCCTCATTTCAATCAATAACTCCAGTTATCATGGTGATAAACTTTAATACTGGATCACTGAGACTGATTGTCTAAGTATGTGTTGTGAAAGTGAACTTTGTATGACCAAGAGCATATGTAATGCATTGCTTTTTAGATGCACAAAAAAAGTGCCAAATACCTTTTGGATCTCGCATGTTTATACCAATCAATAAAATTGAGAATGAAAATGGGGAATATTTGTATAGCAAGATTTACTATACATATTCTTCTGCTTTTCATCTTTTTCCACCTGTGTTTGTTTGTTGTTTTTTTTATTGAAACGCTGTTGATTAATTTTTTTCGTACTATATAAAACTACATCAGCTATATTCTTAACTTTAATAAATTAATTTTATTAACCCTATCGCCGACGAGTCACGGTTTACCGGGATTCACGCTTTAGACAGCTGATGATGAGTCCCGTTTTACTGGGTTCGGAATACCTCTTTTACATTTGCCGCTCAAAACTTTGCAGACACGAGTTATTTTTTTTTTATTGAATACCCGGATGAAAGTGTAAACATGGCGCTTCCGTTTGTTGAAAACCGTGTCAAAATCAGATGAAATTTACGGAATTTACAATAATTTGAAATAAGGGAAAATTATTTTTTTTTAAATATGGAAGAATTGAAGCCAGACTAGTATACTTTTTTGACATAAAATGCCGTTTTATGTACAAAAACACTTGGAATGGACATCGTTCAGTGTAAGGAATTTGTACAGCATCATTGAATTTTTCAAACTTTTGCCATTTTGGCATGTTTGGGTTAAAAGATTACGATTTTGGATCAAAATTGGAATTTTGAGAATTTCATTCAAATAATGACGAAAATTTTACAATTTTGAATTTGTTTGAAGAAAAAATTATCAAAACATGAACAAAACTACATGTACATGGTGTTAGTGAGTAAAATAAAGACAAAAATAACAACAGACAAGCTATTATTGATATTTATTATGATGATCTCCCACTTGAGTCATCCAGGGAAGCCATCATCTCAGAGTAGCTTCTGTCAGGGCAGCTATCAGTGAAAGGGTTAAGATAACAACAGTATGAAAGCCGTTGTAAATTCACAACCAATTCGACTCTCGACCGTCTCGATCGACTGAATAGTATAAATAGAAAATATAAACAAACATCATATTGTTTACATAATCAGTGTTAATGTCAAATGATCGCATGGTTCCCCTTTAAATTGTCTACATTTTAAATTTGTAGAGGTACAAATCGATGTTGTCCCTATTAGATTCAATCATGGATTGTATTTGTACTCTGTCGCTTCATAACTGTTCAAACATAATAACGAAATTCAATAAAATGTCGGCCATTAAAATTTTAATTTCGTTCTAAGGGAAATAACTTGAAATGGTCTTGCTAAAAGATGAATCGCAGAACAGATTTTAAATTACAGCGGGGCGTTCTAAAATACGACGGAAAAGGGGCATGGTGCCAAGTTTTTTTCCTAAAAGCGGCAGCGTGTCAAGAAAACATGGCTGGGTGCCATACCACGCAAAAACCACCTGCAGGAAACACTAGTCTTGAAAAGCTATTTTAATTTTTTGCTGTGACGAATGCAGGAAGCGTCAAAACAAAAAATTAGAATAGCCTTTCAAGACGTCATAATTAATTGGACCAAGTGAAAATATGCAGGACATACACCTGTAAGTCCTTATCACTATTTTTCTGCCTTTACCATACCTGCTAACTTTTGAAAATCCCAAGTGGGGTTTTAGTGCGTGATAACAATTTCAAAGGTTACATTTTTTTGCCGTGTTATTTGCCTGCACTGTTTTGTGCTCTAGAAAAAAGTGTCATACCTTTTTTTTTTATATGGTATACTGATGATGAGCTTATAATATAAAAATAAGAAGATGTGGTATGACTGCCAATGAGACAACTCTCGACAAGAGACCAAATGACACAGAAATTAACAACTATAGGTCACTGTACAGTCTTCAACAAAGAGCAAAGCCCATACCACATAGTCAGCTATAAAAGGCCCTGAAATGCCAATGTAAAACAATTCAAACGAGAAAACTAAGTTAACGGCATAATTTATGTACAAAATAATGAACGAAAAACAAAAGCAGCAACAAACGACAACCACTGAATTACAGCTGGCTCCTGACTTTGGGACAGGCACATACAGAATGTGGCAGGGTTAAACTAGTTTGTTGGCGCCTAACACTCCCCATAACCAGGGACAGTGGTCTAAAGGCACAACATAATAAAAAACTATGCAAAACAATAAAAGAAAAACAAATATGACTCAAATATGAGAAACAGTAAAAAACCACAACCACTAAATTACAGGCTCCTGACTTGGGACAGGCACATATAGCATGTGGCGGAGGTTAAATTAGTTTGAAGACGCCAATAAGCCTATTTCTTCTTTTTATTTGCATGAATAGTCTAAGGTGAACATGCACTTCTTCCTGTCAGTTTCAGAAAGAGAAGTCACTTTTCTATAATTCTGTAAGAGTACATGTGGTATACAATGTATGAGCCCTGATTGTTTATAAAAAGTTGCTTCCAGTGGTAAAATAAATGTTTTAAGATATTTTTTACAATGCCTTCCAGACATGTATTCCAGTAACAGTGGTTGAGAAAAAGTCAACAAAAATAAATAATTTCTGCTTTCATGAATTATACGAGTTTGTCACATACAACATGTACAAGTTGATTTGTTAAAACTGATTTTTCTTTTCTTTTAGGTAAGAAAGAAGTGGAAACACAAAAATCCCAAGGTCCACAAGTAAGATTATTAAATGTGGTCATTTCTGTTACTGTGGATTCATTTATTTTCGTGGGTATCAATTTTCGTGGATAGAGAAAAAAAGACATTTCGTGGTATACGTAAATTCGTGGATCGCTGATTACAAAACAAAATCAGATACGTAATTCATGGATTTCTTTTTGATTTAGGAGATCATATAACTTCCTTGGTTTGATCAATAATAAAACAAACAAAAAAGAAGGAATTCATTGAAAAAGTTTTGAATTGTCAAAATCCTCGCTCATTCTAGGGTAAAATGTTCATTGAAAACTTCTTTTACAATAATGGACAGAGACAACTAACTATTTGTTTGTTTTACAATTTATAAATTCTTGTTGGAATTTTAATAGGTATTCAAAACTCTATGATCATGATGATTGAAAGCTCATTTCCTTTATCACATATAATAAACAGTCATATAAGTAAAAGGTTAGAAAATAAATGTTCCTGTCATAAACAATATTACCTACGGGCAATATCCCCGTACTTAATCCTATTGATTTTTAATCACCAGTAAACCAAACTATGACACGGTAATTAACAACTTGCAGTTATTTTCCATGAACAGTTTTAATCAATTTTAAGTGCCAGTCTTCGTAAGAATCAGGCAATTTAGAAAAATTTCAAAACATGGCAGAAAAAAATCCACCGACCAATCTATCCTATTTTGAAGTTACCCTCATCCTGAGTTAGAAATGGTAGGTCTTTTGTTTCTGCTGTTCTGGTAATTCGAGAAATCTCTAGATAACTTTTGGTTAGAATGATAGCAAATTACAGAGTTATCTCCCTTTAATTGTTAATTTCTAGTGCATTTCAACCAAATTATATCTTGAGTTACATGAACAGGAAGAGGAAACGAATGTTATATTCGTGCACCATGATACAATTTGAACATAAATTAATGTCAACTTGAGTGGGTTTTTTTTGTCATGTTTTCACCACTGCCTGATTCTTAGGCAGATTGTCACTTAAAAAATAAATGATCACTGATATTCGATATATTTATTATTGATTTAATCAAAATTCTTGTATATTTTTTCATTAAAAACACATGTTATGTTACAATGTTTAACGCTAGTAAACACTATACTAGAACTGCATAACATAACCGGACATCCGACTCCATACACATTTCTCGGGATTATTCTTCGTTGAATTCTTAAATTTGTGGTTCACTGTGACCCACGAAACCCACGAAAATTGGTATACCACGAATAAAAATGAATCCACAGTAGTTTATTTGTAGAATATAATGCTAATACATCATATACATGTATTCATAACTATGTTAACATCCAATTAATTGTTTAAAAAATGA